CGAGACTCTCTTTTCTTCCATCGCCAACTATTCTCATAACCCACATCCTTAATTTACTTCTACAACAAAATTTACATTTATCATTATTCGTTCGTTAACTATTCATCTTCCTTAGTTCACCCCACAACCTCTCTTTCAATACATCAATCTCTCCATCTTTCCATATTTCTTTTTATTCAACCTAAACTTGAAGTCTGACCCCTATACCTAATGTTTTCCATGCTTCTTTTCGACACGAATAACTTCAAAAACATTAATTTTTCAAAAAAACTATAAAGAACATTTTTGTCTTAAAATTAACTATTTTAACGACTACCATGGTTTTTCTGATCAACTTGTTCCATCCCCGAGTTAGTGGCAACCACCCCCAGAGGAAAGGGACATATTGGCAAGGGGTAGATTTTGATCTTTCAACTATTTTCTAACTACAGTCAAAATTTGAAGCAAATCAATACATGTAAAAAATTCTCAGCAGAAAACCCTCATATTCTAAACTATTATAATCCGACAAGCGAGAGCTGGCGGGTGAGCTGCGCGAAAATAGAAAAGGAATTATTCTAAGAGAGATAGGAGAGGTAGTTAATCGCGATTATAGGTATATAGTACAGGTACTTAAACGGTTATACACGATGTTAACTCCTAGCCGACTGCAATAGAAATGAGCAATTCCTTCCACTTTTTAATTTGTTCTACGCGCAACCCGCCAGCTCTCGCTTGTCGGGTTATATAGAGTTCTTGAATCTCCTAGTGAAGAGGACAAAATACCGAATGAGCAGATGCTCATCGGACATGGCTGTTTCAAGGCATACCTTTGCAGATTTGGAGAGGCAGAAAATGGCAAATGTGTACTGTGAAATATCGTGTTTCTATCTATCTATTCTATCTATCTATGTTTCACACACTATATTGGCATGCCATTAGATAGACGAATAGCCAAGAGAAGCCTGCTTAAGAGAGAAAGAGAGAGAGAAAGAGAGAGAGAGAGAGAGAGAGAGAGAGAGAGAGAGAAAGAGAGAGCGAGAAAGCAGTCAGTAACGGAAATAGTGGAGGAGATGCTTAGGTCGGCAGATCGGGGGAGAATAGTTCAGAGATATGGGAAGAGAACGTTGGAGAGAAAGAAACAAGAAGAAAGACAACCTGAAGGGTCCTTGAAGATCAAATGAATTTCCTCAATCCCTCCATTACCTCTCTACCCTCAATGCAATGTTAGTTTCTTCGTTTGGTGTTACTTCTGTTGTTGGTGATTCATTATCGTCATCTTTAGCATGTGTATGCTCTTATTTATATACTTTCTATACGTTTATAAATGTGCGGTAGTGGCTTCTTCCTGTATTTCTTTTCAATGAATTTATTTAATAGTCAATCGTTCCACATACAATTGTTATGCACTAAACCCACGTTACTTTTCTAACTGTTATTGTTTATACGTCAATTGTGTATTTTGTAACTTTGGTAGATTTGGTAGACAGAATGGCTCCCGGTCAATACATACATAATGTAGCTTCGTCTATTTTAAAAAATTTTAAAATGTTTGTCCTTGTGTAGTGTAGTGTGATGTTTAATTTTATGTTTATAACATTTTATTCTTGTTGGATAGGTTGCAATTGACGAATTGCCCCGAAGATGCTCTAGGTAGCGAAAGTACTTGGGCAAGATTAAATTAATAAAACTGTGCTCAATATCTGCCTTTTATTTGATTCAAAGTTCATTTGTTTGAGCATTCAACCTTATAATATCAATCTGGTAGATGTTGGTATTTTTGTACTCCCCAAATACTTTTGGGATATTGTCTGATTCCTCTTTAAATGACTTAATAATAAAAATTATCTTTTCCATTCTTTTGTTGTTTTTATCATATTAATCCCTTTATAAAATAGCTTGGTTATTATGCTTGTTAACTTCTCAGATGGGACTTTTATCAGCTCCTCTGTAATATTTTCTGGTTCACTCGCACTGTTATTTTTCTTCTTCTTCTTTTCAGTCACTTTCTGTCCACTCCTGAACATAGACCTCTTCCATATTTTTCCGTGCTGTTCTGTTTGAAACCACCTATGCATATTTTTTGATATCATCACGTTATCTCTACTGGGGTCTTCCGACGCTACGTTTTGACTGTCTTGGTCGCTAGTGTGCCAGTTTAGTTGTCCATCTGGTTTCATATTGCCGAGCTGCATGTCCTACCCATTGCCATTTTATATTGTTCTCCATTGTTCTCCAATAGGTTCACACATCTCTAACTTTCTTTATTTGGTTTATTTATCGAACATATTTGTAGAAACTGACGTATTTGCGACAAAATATAAATATTGCATACAAAAGCTGCACTCTTTACATTTAAAAATGCATTTTCATTTTTGTCGATAGGACACTCTGATCAAAAGATATCTGATTTTTACCGTCTAGTTGATACAAATTTTATTTTGCGCGCATCACTGACTTTCAACCTTGCCGGTCGCTTTAACCGCTGTTTTTGACAGAACGGTTCATTCTACGAAAAAAGGGCTAACAAACATTTTTTTAGAATTACCTCAACTACAATTTTATTTGAAAAATCTTTTTGTACGGCTTACCGATTCTTGGTAAATTGCTTTTCCCCATGCGAGGGGAGTTTAAGGTGGAAGTTAGGGGGTAGAAGTGGTAAACTTTTTTGCATATTTTTTGGGGTCCAATAATTGATATTCTCAGCAAAATTCAGCCTGTTTTTCTGATTTTTAGAGGTCAAATTTCTGACAAGTGTACTATAAACCAAATTGATTTGTTTGTGTACATGTAGGCCACAATTAAAACTATCAAGACGATAAGCATTTAATACTTAAAACAAATACCAATGGACCGTAACTTTGGATTTAATTAATTAATACAGGATGTTCTTAAGGACAATATAATGTGATTAGCCGAATGCGTTCATCATTGTATAGAAAAATAGTCAAGTACAGTGTTAACGCGATAATTAAACAAAATAAACAATGAACTACACGGTTATTTAACCTTGATTAAAAGTAAATAGAGCCTTGTGTAATTCAATAAATGTCCGTTATTACGGACATTTATTGAATTATATTGTATACGCAATCAAAGATATTTCTATAATATTTTGGATTAGGAATAGAATTAAACGTAAATAATGAGCAGATGTTTTTGAAAAAACGTAAATAATAAAGGATTTTTATAATGTTACTTTGATTTTACAAAATTTATTTTTACTTTTTATTAAATAGTGCAAAAACTGTTTTTTTACAATCATCTCAGAAAATTATTGATGAAAGAAATTGTAAAAATTCAAATAAACCATCTCCTTATACCAAAAATACTGTCTGAATATGAAAATTGCTCCTAATATACCCAAAGCGAGTTTTGACGAGCGAGTTTTGACAAGCGAGTTTTCATGAGTTTCATCCTAAATGATGGTTCAGTAACCTTGTTTCAGCTTCCCAACACTAATAACAGTGCTATTGATTTAATAATTGTGATTAGTAATCTAGCTTTAAATGGGGGATGATTAAAGACTGCGGTAATAGTAACCATTTTTCCACATACCTAAAAATCAATGATATTGAACTATCAGACACAACTCTTGTAAAAAAATTATAAAGTAAGAAATTCTTCAAGAGCTGATTTTGATCTTTTTTATGATGAATTAAAAGCAACCTAGTAAATTTCTCAATAAACAAAATAAATTACAAACAATTTATGTCAGTTATCAATAAAGCAGCAGATGTTTCAATTCTTTATACAAATTGTAGGATACACGGTAAACCATTTAATCCCTGGTGGAATAGAATGTAAAGAAGGAAGCTTTTTGCATATTCGACTCATGATTATCACTAGAAAATTATTTGCATATTAAATATATACTTGCACAAACTAAGCGTAATCTTAGAATAAAAAAGAAAAATAAATTTAAAAATTTTTGTGAAACATTAAATAAAGGATCCAAATTACATACGTATGGAATAAAGTAAAAAAAATTAAACCATAATAAACGCAAAAATGTTTATAATCCCTCAGATAACATTAAAAGAAAATATGAAAATTTATGTCCCTTGTCCTATAATTAATATTATTTTTAAATTTTTGCAAAACAGGCGTTTATATACAGATCTAATAACGGTGACTTTTTGGGCCCTTCGTTAGTAACCAAAGGTTTACCTTTAAGGGTTCACCTTTAAGCACAATTTTATTCAATCTATACATATTGCATGTTTTCATTTCATTCTTCCTAAAGGTATAAATATTAATGGGTATGCTGAAGATTTGGTTTTATATGTGAAAGGATCAGTTATCCAACAAATGATTAATAAAGTTAATGTGGCATTATACAATGTACAAGAATGGTTGTCAGAACATGACCTATCTCTCTCTATAAATAAATTTAAAGCTGTATGGTTTTTGAATGAAAAACGCAAAATTATTACCCTAGAAATCAAACTTAGTAACAAAATTATACCATTAAAAGATAAAGTTAAATTTTTACGCATATTTTTTCAAAATCATCCCAAGTAGGATAAACATGATGATAATACTTTAGTTGAAACAGAGAAAAATATTATTATTTTACGTGCAATTTGCAGAATATGGTGGGATGCAGATTCTAGAACTCTTTTCATATCCTCAATGCTTTAATAAGATCTCACTTAGACTATGGTTCGTTCTTACTCACACCGATAATTCAGAAATGTATTATTAACTTAACACACTATTTTTTGAAGACTTAAGAATTTCTTTAGATCGTATGAAATCTCCCCCTCATTTGGCTCTGCTAGCAGCATCGGCACAATGTGATTTAAAACATAGGAGTTTAATATTAGCTACTAAATTTTTAAGTAAGATCGTTAATATCAAAAATCATCCTGTACTTTTATACCTTGTTAACTTACAGAATAAACTTATAATCAAACCTCGTTTTTATAATAAACATACCTTACTTAGTTTCAACAATAGAATACTTTTTTCCATATTTTAACAAAATATATAAACGTAATAATTTCCCATGTTATGAGATGGATTTTGATACATTAGTCAATCCAGTAAAAGCATTAAATTGCAAAATACCAGAGGATGAATATATGATTAGAGAAAAATTTTCATTATTTACTGAAAAATATATCAATGATTTTACTTTCATTTATACGGATGCCTCAAAAAATTGTAATAAAGTAGGTTTCGGCATTTATATTCCTAGTATTTTAACGATATATTTTGATTACCTCAGGGTAAGAACATGGAGGTAGAACATTGGTGACAGAAACTACTGGGGGTAGGGATGGGGTAAACAAAATAATCGAAACTGATGCGCACGACACTCAGGGGGTTGTTGGAGAGCTGGGTCGTGGATAAGTTGAAATAAATGGGTCGGATTGGGGTATGTACAAAATGAAAACAAAGCGATACTTACATAAATCTCCTGGAACAAAAACGAAACAAGATATGGCAGACAAGGTTACCTCTAGCTATTTCTATTCGGACGCCGCTTCGAAGAAAACTTCCTGCTGGAAGAAAAAAATTTTTCTTCCCTAAAATCAAGAATACATAGAAGGGTTAGGAGACTTTTCTAAATTAAAACAAAAAAATGGATCAGAGAAACAAATCAAACGTTTATTTTTGTCTCAAACAAACAGTTATCAAAAATACAGATTGCACAAAAGCATACTATATAACTATAATACAAAATTAACAAAAACCTATGTATTTTCTGTTGACAAAGAAGATTGCTACAAAATTTTTCGAAATGGTTCCTAGGTTATTTATTAATATGGCCAAAATAGAATATTATGATTAAGGATATCTTCGTTTATGAAAATATCGTTAAATTTAACCTTATATATGAAATATCTTTTCTATATAATAATCAAATTAAAATTGTTTAACAACAGCAGATTTAAGCCAAAATGTCATATGTCAGCATAACATTGTAAGACAGAATAAATTATGACATTTTTTCAGCCACGCCTCTAACATAATATAAAACTTTAATTTTTACAAATTCTTTTATTTTAATGAAAGCATTTATTAAAAATGTCTATATAACTTGGAAAAATTATTATATTAATTATTATCTTAAATCACAAACTTTGCACTTAATTTTGAAACTTGTTAAACATCTATGGGAAAACTACTTGGACAAATTCTCTAACTGGAACATAGGAAACCATTTCCATACTCAGGAACGAAGATCTAAAACGTAAATCAGGCTTGGTGGAGAAGCAAGCTGATAAACAAAACCAAGCCGGTGGGACAACCTATATATTGCTTTTCAAAATTCTATTAGTTTCCGGTATACTACACAAATCTTATGATGATTACTCTGTTCTAAACTGCCATTATGCAAAGAGTATTAATCACTTTGGCCGGTCTTAAGACATTACACACAAATAATTGGCTGTGGATTCAAAATCCGCCAAACGTCTTTCTAGTTTGAAATCTCTTGCTTCACTATTTGCGTTCAGTTTTAAAATTTCAACATAAATCCAAATTCCCCCTTCACGTCTCGGTTTCAGGCGCCAGCTAACCTACACAAACAAATACACCTCTCTACACTCGTTCGTACAACCTTAAACCGACAACAAAACATCTTGAAATATTTACTTTTAAAATAGTTAGAAATAACACGTACGAATTGGGGAATTTTGAATGTAAACAAAGACAAAAAAATATTCTCAACGTTATTACGTATTTAAGAATCTCCACTTAAAATGCCATAATATATTGATGGTTTTAAAATTCCTTTTTTACAGTATCAATTACAAATTTTTATTTAGACTATCTCGATTGTGCATATGCAAAGTAGAAAACATGGCTATATACCAAGCAGTCAATCTGTCCATTAATAGACAGATCAATATAGTTATTGTCTTCTCCGATTCTCTTAGTGCAGTTTCTAAAATTAATAATTTCCAAAATAAGCAAAATTTCCGCTTCAGTAGATTATTAGTGCCTTAAAACAAAAAATGCTATTATCAATCTACAAGCTGATACAATGGCCAAAATAGGGAGAGATCTTAATGTTTCTTTGAATATGAAATATGATTCCCAAGACGTGTTAGCCATATTTAAGAGAAACATGCAATAACACTTGGAAAACTTTAGTAAATCATATCAATATTACAGAGTACAAAATATTTTCTCTAATAACACATGGTTTCAAAACTTTTCATATCAAGATAGGAGTCACATTACAGCTATTATAAGAATGTTGACCGGTCATTGACAAATCAACATCTTTTCAAACTGAATTTGGCGGACAACCCTTACTGTAAATGTGGCCTAATAGAGAACCTAAATCATATATTTTTTGAATGCCCCATAAGGATCATTTATATGAATTATAGTTCACCAATTACTATATATTTCATTTTAAATAAATTTACTGAAGAATCAGTCAGCATTTTGATAAAATGCCTTTCAATTAATAAATTAAATTTATAATCGACAATGCTCAATACTTTTTGTAGTATTTACTAACATAACCTCTATTAATTATTATTGAATTTTTTTTACAAGATTATTTGTCAGTCATTTTAAATACGCGTAACAATAGTTAACGATCTTAATAAATTTAAATTAATACACACTTTTTAATTTTTTTAGGTATTGCCAATTTCGAAGCAGATGCTGGATTTAATAAGGCAGACGAAAAAAAGCTAGTAAATTCTGTCTCTAATGTAAGATACGGAGAGCAAAACAACAATAAAAATGATCACTTAGATGCGAATAATTTCAATACGGGAACATTTTATCAAAAAGGTGGTGTAGATCAGAATAATTTCGAGGACAAGAAACTACATCAAAAGGGACATCATAAAAATGGATTCCATAATAGTTATCACAAAGACGAGGTTGGAAGCAATTCTAGCTTTTATGACGACGGTAGTGATGAAGGTGGCCATCACATTCTTACTAATAATAAAGGTAAAGAGACTTTAAATTTAATGATCAATGACAGTTCTTTGAGCGATTAACTCTTTTTACGACCAAAAGATTGCTAGCATCAACCTTAAATACTCATCCTTTATTCGGTCTTAGGACCAGCAGTGATAATCAATCTAAAGAACCGTGATTAATTAGTTCTCAGTAATATAATGTCCAAATTCATGCCCTTTATCATTTAAAACCTGTTCTCCACTTATTCCCACTACTTGTGGAATGGTATTTTTTTCTGATTCTACCATTTGGGTTACCTTCTATAATGATTTGGTCTGTTTTACTGTATTTACTAATTATTTTTTTAAGTATTCGTTAATTTATATATGAGCAGCTTTTTATTTGTGTTGTGGTACAAAATGATGTTACGGGTTGTTAATTATTTGTCACTACTTACAGGGTTAAAATCTTACTACAGTGGAAAGAGCTTTTCGTTTTGATCTACTCCACTGAATATCATTGTGTAATAGTTCTAGATTTTAGTTTCAATACAATATAAATATAAAGGCAGTAATGGATATTTTGTATTCTAGGTACTTACGGCAACGCCATGGAAGATAACAAGCAGGGTAATCACCTTGATCACACTTATCGTGCCAACCAAGGCGTCAACCAAGGTCAGTTCGACAATGCTCATGTATATGACGGAAATACCATGAGCAATCGAAACTATAATAGACAGCAACACTTGGATGACAGAAGACTTGCTGACCAAAGGGCTGGGGCCTTCAATTCGGGCGAACATTATAACGAACATAGATATGCGGATCCTCCTTATGATCCTGGATATAATAACTACGGCAGATATAACAACTATGATACCTTGAATAGAGGTTATCCCAAGAGGCGAATTACCATTTTCGAAGATCCAAGGTATGAAGCTCATTCTGATCCAGTAAGATACAATGATGATTATATAGAATTAGATGTAAGACCTCCAAGACGTTATCCAGATCGTAGCTTTGATCTAAGACGACCTCAACATGATTATTACTAACGACGTGTAAACTATTGTAATAAGTAACGAATTTTTTTTGTAAAATATGTTTTAAATTATTTAAAATAAAAACAGTAATACGCATTTGATGATATTAATTACACTAAAGCCAAAACAGATACCGGTGCATATTATAGTTCATTTGTTATCTTATTTCAGAATAGCATAGGAATTTAAAGACGAAACAAGCAAGAAAAGGGCATTCTGAGCACTAGTTTTTTCTTCTTTAGTACTCAAAACGGAAGAAAAAACTAGTGCTGCCACCCACAACAAGGGTAATCGTGACGTTTTTGCGAGATTTCAAAAATTGAATAATTGAAAAAAATAATACCATCTGAACCAAGATCTAGCTACGAGATACCTACAAAGAGCGCTGAACGAACTTGAGGCATGGTGTGTGCAGTGGAAAATAGCCGTCAACCCTGACAAAATACAGGGCGTCATGTACCAAAACATTAAAGGTAGGCCAAATAGGGTTCTATCCCTACTCGATATCCCAATTGACTGGTTAAACCAAGCCAAATATATAGACATAACGTTGGATAAAAAGCTGATCTTCACAGAGCACGCAAAACAAACGGTCAACAAAACTAAAGCACTTAGGATGGGTGACAAAACGGAAACAGGAGTGGAACGAACACATTAGTAGAATGGAACAGGATAGGATAGTACGAATAGCACGAGATAAGTCACCAAATGGACGAAGAAGTATTGGTAGACCAAGAAAAGATGGTGCGATAATTTATACAATTTAGGAGGCTAATATTGAAGAAGAAACAGGCTTTAACGCCTACATACATGAAGGAAGAAGAAGAAGTGTTTATTTCGTATCGATATTGAAATAAAAATAGTCATAACTAAAGCTAAAAAGCTAAATACCTTGTATAGTAATTTGATACTTCATATTGTAAGAACAGGAATTATGAGTGGAATATAAATATGAGAAAATATCTAGGTGTCCTATTTAAAAAAAAATGTTTGTTTGTTTTACCACGTAGTTATTAATCACTGTGTACAATTCTGCATATTTTACAAACCTGGAAAAAACTTTTTTTGAATATTTTGTATCATAATGGCATTATGGACGAATCTCGCACTAAAACCTCATCCTGTATGTATGTATACATTTCCAATTACTTTTTTACGAACTTTTCACTTCATTGTTAGTTTCAACGATTCCAAGGAAACATCCACCACCGTGAGCATTTGCCGATAAGTAGTAAATCTTGGTTAAATTACTATTTGAGTGCACCTGCTTTTTCTCAACGTCAAAGAGTTACAAATGGCACACGATTACACGCGGTAATTTATAGAACACGGGAGAAGAAAGTGTGAACGCTGAAACACTTTTATCTGTGTTCTGTTCATTAGATAATGGGGTAGCTCTACGGAAAGCGGAGAATTAACTGGAGTGGCAGATTTTTCGGTAGGCCGTTTTTGCTAATTCCGTTTAAGTGTAATTGGAAATCACACCTTTGAATCTGTTTTCCTAACTAAAGTGAATAGCAGACTGCAGGAACTGACACACAATGAATTTCATTGAAATATGAGTAGCTAGCAATTGCATTTTTTGTTTTCACAGCAGATTTAATCCTTTTTCGTACTTTGAATGTACATATTTTTATTATACATATAACAGTTGGTATAACGACGTGTTCGATTTATTTCGGTTAAAATTGATTTATTAGGGCCTGATTAGACAATAACTAAATAAGCAATGTATGGGTAAGCTGGAGGCATTTGAGATGTGGGCGTACCGAAGAATGTTAAAAATCTCCTGGAAGGATAAGATAACTAACCAAGTTGTATTAGACAGGATGAACAAACAAAAGGAGGTCGTATTGAGTGCTAAAATGAGGAAACTACAGTACCTGGGACATATTACACGTGGGAATAAATATCAACTGTTGCAACTAATTATGCAAGGAAAGATTGAAGGTAGGCGCAGCATAGGTAGGAGAAGAATGTCATGGTTGAGAAACCTCAGGGAGTGGTTTATAGTGGTTTATATCTCAAGAAGACAATAACGAATAATATATTTATTCTAATATCTAAATTGACATTTAATTGTTTAAATATGGCTAAAACCCCGTCAACGGAGTGATATGCAATATTTTTGAAGGGTTTTTATTTTTAGAGTATACGACATAAGTCTTGTCTTACTATTATGGGAATTATCTTAAATCTACACAATTCATTGAAAAATTGTTCATGTTATCTAAAAACTGTTATCGATAAGGAAATATGTATTACAGCGGCAACATTTGTGAATATCGTATTACCATCGAATTTATACTTGTCAGCAAATTACAATTTTGTTGATGGTGACTGCTTATTCGTGCTTTAAAATTCCCTCCTAATTCTATTTTGTCGAATTGTAATTTTCAAACTCTTTGTTCCTTAGCTTTATTTAATACTCAATATCCATACATACTATTTAGACATTGCATATTTCTACCATGTGCTTCGGCACCATAACCAATACATCTTAACCTCTATTTCTAATCATTTGTCATTCTGATTCACTCAATGATACATAACATCGCAAAAGGGATTTAGGGAAGTATTGGACTTTCAGTGGCGGTCTCAGAGTCAGATTTTGGGAGGGGCGATGGTCTGTTGCAGGGGGGTCTGGAGGATGCAGCCCCCATCCGGAAAGGGGCTCCGGAAAATTTGTAAAAATATGGCAAGATTTTGAGAGTTTTAAAGGCATTTTATTCATTTGAACAGCTGATGGACAGAATATGGACTGACTGTCACTTAGTGGTTGTGACGAACGGAGAAAAAGGAAAATCACTTATTATTATTACAATTAGTATCAGTGGAAACAGTTTTACACAATAATAAAAAATAAAAAAGCTAGCCTCTAAAGCTTGTCGTAAATATTGTTCGGCTAACTTACAAATAAAATATTCAAAATATATTTTGTATTCTTGTGATTGTATCAAAAACCAATTTAGAACTATTGAAAACAACTCAAAGTCTAATAGTAAAGGTTTGTGGGTGATAGTATTTTTCAATGGCAAGCCTCTGAAACAAGTCTCATCTTTCTAAACCTTTGACGATTTAGGTGGTTTTACGTTATCACGAACAAACGTCAAACTTTAGAGGTTTGGTCTGACAATGTTAGTTTTACGCTTGAATTGAAAGAGCTCAAAACACATTTTACCTTTTAAAATGTTAAAATTTACAATAAATATACAATACAAATTAGTCTATTAGAATGGAAAAAAGGACGTTCACATTATACATTGTAATAGTTTTATTAGGTTATAAGAAATAAAGTAACAAGTTATAAGGTTTTAAAAAGAATGTAATTACAAAGGGACAATATTTGCAATATAGTCCTTTCTTAGTCTCTGAATAGGTCAACCAGCCTTTATACCGATCATCGGTTAAATGCGATCTATTAAGAAATCGTTTTTCTAATTTCTCCTTTTTCATGTGTTCAGAAAATGGATAGGAATATCCTTGAGGGGGTATACTGTCTGATCCCAGAATTTTAGATATGGTATGATCATCAGGTTGTTTTCCAATATAGTTGGAAATGCCAGTTTTATTTGTAACGGTACTGCTAGTAATCTTGCCTTTAAAGTCGGAGCTTGGCATTTTATTACAATCCTTATTAATTGTTGATGATGTAGAGGTAGATGGAAATTCATTGTTGTCACAGCAAACCGGTTCTGGAGCTTCCTCTTTGCTTTTCTTTTCAACGCTCGGACTCTTGGCAGAGCTTTTCATTGTAGTATTTCTTGGGAAAAAATCGACAATTTTCCTTTTTCGGGTTGTTGTATCGGGTGCAGTCTTCAGCTTCAATTTGTTCTGGCTCTCCTGAAATAGAACACATTAAATAGCTCAATGCAATTAACGCATTCACTGCGATCGACCTGTTAAAACATGAAAATTGCATACGTTCCCATGTTTATTCAAAGATCCCATCTGCACTTGACGCAGTGAATGTGTTAAGTGGTGTACATCAAAGCAAATAAAATATCAACAACGACATTCGAAAAAAATTAAATTGTTAACGTATTCTTATTTTAGTGCTTGATTTAATACAATTTAATTGAGCTAAAAATTATGAAAATAATAGCATAAAATTATCAAATACTGTTATTCAAAAATACATTTGAAAGATGAATTACTAGGGCTGTAATAATAGAATCAGTTATTACATTATTGTTAACAAGTTATTATTCGTGAATAAAGACATAAAAATGATGTTATGGAGACAATAAGTTCAAAACTATTGTATTGATCATACCTATTAAAACAACCTAAATTATTAAATAATATACATATTTTTTTAAGATAAAAACTATAAGTACAATCTAACATGATCTAACAGGTAAATTTGATAGGCTGTACATAATACGTTGTACTCCGTACCCTCAAAAGGCACTCAGTATTCTTAAAATGTTACGTTTGTTTGTGAGTTAATAGCCTAAGCGGTAAGCCTGTGAATAATTCTCTATAGCCTACGGTACATCAAAACTACAGGTTTTCTTTTAAACCCAAGGCAGCTAAAGATATAAATACGAATGAGTTAAGGACATAATTAAAACAAACTTACCATGTCGATGTCGTCTTTTGCAGTTGCACATGGAAAAGGAAACGCTTGAGCAAACTGACACTTATTTATAGCCCTTTTACTTTGCCAGGCATTGATACACGGCCAATATTGAATATGTAGCGTAGCAACTAGCAAGGCTAGCAAGCAACGTCTGACTGAAGAAGATTGTCGACAAATTGTCGAGGTTTAAAATTGCAAATGGTTTTGGCGCACGCGCTCCTGTGTCGGGACGACCGCTGAGAATTTCTAGGTAAACGCTTGTTTGTTACGTTATATCAAAACTAACCGTAGGCTATTAAAATAATCTGTCTACGGACGTTTTTTCACACTGTTAGATTATTTTGTCCAATAATAGCAATGCATTAGTTCGATCTCACACTTCTGATTAATATGTATATTAACTTCTCAATTTTTCAGAAAATTAAGGTTTCGGGGGGGTAAGGGGCGATCGCCCCCATCGCCCCCCCTTTGAGACCGCCACTGTGCACTTTACATATTTTTCCTCTAATACGGTTAATATATTGTTATAGTTCATCATATAATTCTTCTCTATATATAAACTGAGACAACTTTACACTACAAATTAAAAACAACAAAGCTGGACTTAATACTTACTTCGCTGATGGCTGCATGGACTAATCATAAAGCCAAAAAAAACAAAAGAAAAACATTTTAAAACAGTTAAAACAGCACAATACGAGTATGTGAAGCTGTGTACTGTTACTGTTCGACTACATTTTCTTTACCTCGTATATGTCTACTATCAAGAAATATTTCCATTATATATTCCAGCTATTTACCCAAACTAAGATCCTTTTGTGAACAGATCTCTGACGTTATGCCCTTTCAAGCGTCTACAATAGATACCTACCGCGTGTGTTGCTATCAGCAGTTATAAAATGTGTAGAAGCATAAAGCATTTCTGAAAGCGGATATAAATCAAAGTATATCATTCTAATGCAGACACATACGGAAAAGTATTTTATCGCGGACCAAAGAATGAAAAAGAAAACCATCAAATAACCATTTTAGGTTAGTTCTAACCTCTGATAACGGTAACTTCTTTTGGAACT